TGTCTCTGACTGTCTCTATCTCTCTTTGTTCTCTCGGCTCGGTCCTTCGAGCGGTTTCTGAAATTTGTGTTCGCTCAGGGCAATAGAGAATACGCGCGTGTTTCGCGACGGAAAAGTCGTATTTCCGGAAATATGAAAAAACCCGAGCCCGAAGATAAATCCGCGGGATATAATTTCGCGCTTTAATATTATTACGTAATATCAAAAGAGGAGTAGCCGCGCCGAACCTGGTGATTTGGTGGGGGAAGGGCTGCATATGTCGAATTTAAAAGGATTCCTCGCAGAAAAGCTGAAAATAGTTATCTATTCCGGGACGTGATACCAAGGGGATGTGCGATATTTAGAAAAATAAGAAATTATAATATCAAGATTAATTTCAGTAATGATGAACGGCAATGTTTCTCTTTTTGCCGTATGTAATGTATTTTTATTAAATTTTAATGAATTTAATATATCTGCTGCGAACAAAGTATTATCCCGGGGGGGAGTATTTTATCAAGCCTTCAATTCAGCGCGCTGGTTAGTTGATAGTCTACGTTAATCATTGATTAATTTCAATATTATCTCGCTGTTCCAAATCTTAAAATAATTAAGCCTACAATTTGTAAGATACATTTAACGATGGATAAATGAATGAATCAAGAAAATTTGCGCGATTGATAAATGAGTGAATCAATCAAATTTTCACATAAGTCCATCAACGTGTGCTGCGCTCGAAGTCGTAGTCGTCAAATGATTCTCTTTCACGGAATCACATCGTCCTCGGACCGTCAAATTAATTCGAGTGGAAAACGGACCAAATGGCCTCTTTTTTTTTTTAATTGGCCCCTCGCTGCAGCGGTTTAGCGAAAAGAGAAACTCGCGTCATTCGCGAAGAGTTCGCGCATGATATTCGTGAGATCATCGTCGATCGATGTGAACACGACCACGGCACGACGCGGCACGGTATATCCTTGTTTCCACAACACGGCTCTTCGCCAGGACGAGACGGCGCGATACCGGGAAATTTTACACCCAGCGTCCGTGTCGCGCGGACATCTTGTTTGGCGGATCCATCTCTAGCCCGGAGCACGTGTCCGCGTTTTCGCAATCCGTAACCGTATATCATCGAACTCAGGACGATGTTGTAGATACGTAATACCTTCCCGTGTAACGAGTCGAGATACACGCGCGGCGTTCGACTTTCGTTGCGATCACTGTATTATCGGCGAGAGAGATCGCGGGAAGATACCTCGAGCCCTACGAGCCATTTTTCCTCCTTAGCGCTCGATATCAATGCGTTTCCAAGCAAATTTTCCATTTATTTAATTGAAGGTTCGTACCGCGTGTAACGAAAACAAAAATATCTCAAACAAAAAGCCTTTTAAAACGATATTTCACGTAAAATTGAAAAATATATTAAAATTCAATGGAAAATCGCGTCGTGTTACGTTCTTATAACATGCAGCTTCAAAATAATATAGCTTTTATTAATATTTATCAACAGTAAAGATATAGAGAGAAAAAAAGAGAGAGGAGACCGAAAGAGAAAATATACGTATACGATTTGCACTCGTTTCGTTGCTCGCGCATAGGTGCATTTTGATGGGCGCAAGTAATTTATAATTGAAGCGGTGGCGATCATTTGAGAGATAAAGCCTTTACGTTGCGCGTGTTATCGCGACGCGAGGGGATTTCGTAAGATATACAGCCCATTTCCCCGCTTTCCTTACGATCGTCATTTCGCACTTTGAGAATTTCGCCCTCGCGCTTTACGCGCGCACAGAGCAATTTGTGCGGCCGTTAACGTCCGCGGTTAACGACTCGTAATACGATGTCGATTACACGGTGGTGTAAACCGCAAATTTGCTCGTCAACGTGACGCCGTGATCGCCCTATGCTGTTCCCGCGACAGTGACGCCAAAGACCGGAGCAAGCTGAAAGAAACTGATAGCAAGAGAGCTCGCGCGTTACAATGTATTTTTATTTATGCCGCGATTTCACCTGTTAGCGAGTCTATCAACGATTTCGCCGTCAAACGGCACCTCGTTGGTGCCTTACCTTTCGCTTTCGAGCTCGTCGCGTTACTTTTTCTTTCGCCGTATCTCTTTTGCAAGTAAATAAAATAAAATTGACCAATAGCTCGGCGCGTAACGAGAGATAATATCTCGTTATTCCGCGATAACGGCGATAGAGCGCCGTTGTTTGCGTCGGTTAATTAGATAAATTTTTGTCGACCGCGCGGCCAAGCTGACTTTCGCCCTTCCGCCTCATCCGCATTCTGCGTCGCCCCGGGTTCGTTCGCTTTTATCCCCGCCTCTCCCCTTTTTCTTCCTCTTTCCCTATTTCGCCCGCGGCGGTGCGCACGTAAGTTATCGGTGTCCTGTTACATCCAGTTCCAGTTACACGTGCCGCGGGGCACCGATGCATTCGATACCGCT